ATTATCAGACATCCTGTGAAAATTTCCTGCCTCTGTTAAACATAATTTAAGAAATATTTTAAAAAAAGAAAAAAAAGGGGATTAATAATTCTGATTTCAGCTGTATATATATATTAATATTATATATATATATATATATATATATATATATATATATATATATATATATATATATATATATAATATTAATATTTATATAAATATTTGTAATGTTAATCATAATAGCAGCACATCATAAGTGTTTAAAAACATCAATAAATTAAGTGAAAAAAGTAGTGATACTGATAAAATAGGTGTATTTTATCATAAATTCAGATTATTATTATTGCAGTCCTGTACAACAGCACCACCTGCTGCCAAAGCAGTGACCTGAATAAATCCAAGCATACAAACCCAAAACCACCACCATAGTCCTGTTAAATACTGTAATTTAATCACCTTCAATATATTTAACAAAACCAAAACAAACTTCATTAAAAATAAAAACAGCTCTACCCAACGTTTCCTCAATGTTTCCTCTTACAGTTCAGTGTTGCTCTTGTTCTTCACGGCTCTGTAAACATGAATGTCCCTCTGAGAGTCATAATGGACTTCCTGCACAGAAAACCTCTGCCGGAGCTCCGTCAGAAAACGCTCGTCTCGCTCATATCGAATCCTGCAGGACAACAACACCACAGTATCTCCTGAACTCAGGTGTTCGAGAGTCTGCAAAAGTGCAGGAAACGTCTCCTCCAGGTAAACTATATCGGCTCCCAGAATTAAATCATAGCCGCCTTGAGGATACAGATCTAGATTCTCCCCCCAGGTCAGTTCAGATACCTGTACTGCCTTTTGCCGGCCTTGAGGAATGTTTTCATGTACATTGGCTGTCAGAAATTCCAGCGCAGGCTCTCGGTCTGTGATTGTAACATTGGCTCCTGCAGAAAATATATTTATTGATAAAAATGATGCTGAAATATGAAAAGTGTTGAAATATCATTCTTTCTTACCCAGCAGAGCTGCTACGATGCCCACCAAACCAGTGCCTGCTCCCAGCTCGATAACCCTCTTTCCTTTCAGATCCACTTTTCCCATCTCCAGGAACATGCAGAGAACTACTGCCTGGACAATAAACAGGGATAGGCTTCAGATTTGAGACTAAAATGTATAAAGTTGTGATCGTTAACGGATTAAATCACATTACGATTCGAACTGGCAACCTCTCTTTAACCCATCCAGATCTGTAACCATTAAAACCCCAGATCAGATTATGAAATTGAGGCTTCATCTACAGTTAAACACAATGTTTGCATGACAGCAATTTAAAATAACACTATAAAAAACGAATCATCAATCAACATTGATGTTCAGGCGACACCAAAACGTAAATGTAATCTCTAATAATCCGTAATCCCATTAATCATGTTTGCGTCAAATACAAAAAGTGATGTTGTTAAAATGTAGAAGTCACGTGCACCTGTATTTACGAGTTCCAAGTATCTGAAAATGAAAACAACAATGGTGGTTATCTATGCAGAGTTTCTTTACAAACATATCGCCACCTACTGGCTTGACATGTACAATACAGTGTTTTTAGTTATTTTCATTGGCCTTTATGAATAGGGATCATTTTGAATATGATGTCATCTATAAACCAAAATTTTTCTAAATGTTTAATTTTTAGTGTGTGAGACCACTGTAGATCTTTAAGGGTGCTTTCACACCTAGACTTTTGTTTCGGTACCTAGCGCATTTCTCCAGTTAGCGCGGTTTGTTTGGCATATGTGAATCCAGCAATCGTGCTCAGATCTGCGTCAAAACAATCGGTCTGAGAATGCCTGTACGAGGTGTTCTCGGCTAGATTAAAACAATTCTGGAGCGAATGGATTGTAGTGAGAAAGCAATACAATCCGAACCAAGCTATACCACAGTGTATTATGGATATGTAATAGGTATATATGACTATATGAAGAGAGAATTGAGTAGGACAGGATGTCATTCCCACCGGTAAATGTGCATTTCATGTTAAATACGAAAGGGAAAGCATGCTGAACTAATAACGAGAGCCGTTTATCCGTTAGGAAATCTGCACGCTTGGTTTATTTGTTATTTCTCTCTATATTGTAAAGCCTAAGATGCATGATTCTAGCCAACTGCTCTGTATGAGAAAGTCTAACCTCTGATTTATACTTGGGTGTCACCATTCAAAATGAAAGCACAGCTTTTCGCTTATTATGTCCTATTTCTCATTGCCATAAATTAAAATAAGGACGCATGACAGCTGAGCGGGACTCTGCAAAATAAACCCTGAAACTCTGACCAATGTGGGGATAGTTTACTCACACGTGACTTGTTTTAGTTATTTTGGTCCGTTTACAAACTTTGCAGTGTGAAAGCGAACCGCTCCAAGAGCAAAGAGCAACATTGTAACAATTTTAATTTCTGTTTCGGAACAAAACAATCAATCTACAGGTGTGAAAACAGCCTGAGGGTGCTTTCACACCTACACTTTTGTTTCGGAACCTGTATCGTTTGCCCAGTTAGCGCGGTTTGTTTAGCATATGTGAACAGGGCAATCGTGCTCTGTTCCGCGCCAAAGTAATCGCTCCGAGACCGCCTGAGTGAGGTGGTCTCGGCTCGATTGAAACGAACCCTGGAGCGGTTCGATTGCAGTGAGAAAGCGATCCGATCCGAGCGCGGTTGTATCACTGTGTTTTATGGATATGTAATAGGCTTACGGCTATATGAAGAGAGAATTATGAGTAGGGCAGGAAGTTTCGCGAGTCTCCGGATGCCCGCAAACGAGTGATGATCTCCCGGTAATCTCGCGTCTCCCTCGCGGTCCTCAAATAGGCATCGTCGCGCACCCTTCTCACCCCTACCCACCGCATCTCTCCTCAGACACGTTGCAAGCTCGCACACCTTGTCAATCACCACCAAACCACCACCTCTCCTGACAGCTGAGCGGGACTCTGCAAAATAAACCCTGAAACTCTGACCAATGTGAGGAAAGTTTACTCACACGTGACTTGTTTTAGTTATTTTGGTCCGTTTAGAAACTTTGCAGTGTGAAAGCGAACCACACCAAGAACAAAGAGCAACAATGCAACAATTTTAATTCCTGTTTCGGAACAAAACAATCAATCTACAGGTGTGAAAACACCCTGAGTCTCACGAGACACTTCTCTCTTAAAAACATGGATGCATGCTTAGACTTGTGTTGCACATTGTACTGACAGATATCCTTACTGGTATCTGTTGCTATTGTCTGTGCACTTTTACAGTGTTGCTAAAAATAAATACTAACTTGTACCATCTACATACTACACTTCTCCAAAACTGCTGTCCTGCATCAAAACATGGTCAGGTGCATTCACGGTAGGACTGCAAGATACTGGGAAAAACAATATTGTGATATGTGATGTTGAGTGTTGCAATAACAATATTTCTTATTATGATATAACTAACTTTAACAAATGCGATATTTTATAAAATAGATAAATACTTTATGGTGGCAACATGGTGGCTCAGTGGTTAGCACTGTGGCCTCACAGCAAAAAGTTTGCAGGTTCGAGCCTCGACTGGGTCAGTTACCATTTCTGTGTGGAGTTTGCATGTTCTCCCCATGTTCATGTGGGTTTCCTCCGGGTGCTCTGGTTTCCCCCACAAGTCCAAAGACATGCGCTATAGGTAAATTGGGTACACTAAATTGGCCGTAGTATGTGTGTGTGAATGCAAGAGTGTATGGATGTTTCCCTGTGATGCGTTGCAGCTGGAAGGGCATCCGCTGTGTAAAACATAGTGTTGTGTCATTCATGCAAACTGCGGCATAGGATGTCTATTCGCATCTTTGCCTTGATTTAACATATAAATCACTCGCATTTGACACTTCATTTGCGCCTGTTGTGAACGCACCATAACACTCGGCACACAACAGCCACGGATGCATTTCAGCAGCTGTGTGATGGTTGTTCTAAGATGCATCAATAACGTCAGGTTTCCTCATTTTTCTTGTGCTTAAATGTTAAAATGGCCAAAGAATCTTCAGTCACTGCAATGGCCCCCTGCCAATTTCAGTTTCAGAGCCCCGGTCTACATTTAATACATACAGAATAATGTATGTTTGCAGATATTTCAGAGTGGACATGCTTTAAAACTTCTCTTTCTCTGTTAACAGAAAGCATTTAAAAACAAAACTGGATCCGGATTAAAGTTGGGGTAGTGTGAACTTACAGCGTCCCAAACCACTGCAGCGACACCCAATCGCTTCCAGTCCTGACTGAGTCTGATCCTGTGATTGGCCAGAGTGAATTCAGCTGAAGACTGATGCAGTTTTGACAGAGCAGGAAGAACATTCTCATCATAAGGAACCAAAGCCATCTCGAGCTGATAAAATGTCTGAAAAGACCAACACATTGTTCATTACAATTAAAATCGTATTTACATTTAGTCATTCAGCAGACGCTTTTATCCAAAGTGACTTACAAATGAGGACAAGGAAGCAATTTACACAACTATAAGAGCAACAATGAGTGCTGTAGGCAAGTTTCAGGTATGTAAAGAAAGTGTAAGAAGCAAAACATTAGTTTTTTTGTAGTTAGTGGAGGAGTCAGAGAGGGAATTGCATATTAGTAAGGAAAGTGGAGACTAAATAGTTGAGTTTTTGGTCTCCACTTTCCTTACTAATATGCAATTTCCTCTCTGATATCTAATGTCGTATGCTTTTAGGCATAATATACATACCTGTTTTGTAAATCCAACGAGTTAACAGTGCTTTATTATGTTACGTTTTTAATTCGTTTGCTTATAATGCAAAGGAAATGTGAGGAAAATCCGACACAGACTAGTAAACACAACACTCCAGCATGGTCCTTCCAGTGATCTGTTGTTCGGCCGCTTTTACTGCTGTTCATAGCGACTCATCTACGCCATCTGATGGTCAGGCGTGTAACTGCTATTTTTCATTCAGTATTTGCATTTAGCATCCGTTGGGTAAATTGAAGGACAAACTGAAAAGACTTACTAAAGGTGATAAAATATGATTTATAGTAAATACAATAGTGTTTTTGATCCATACTATTGTAAAGTGCGTTCATATCATACTATTTACCACTCTTTGTTGATGAATGTGCCATGATACTAGTATTAATAACCACACTGAATTGATAAACACAGTAGTACACTTTCATTTTTTATTACAGTAAACTGTTATTTTCTGTTACTGATAAATAAATTAGTATCTGTAGTAAAACTGGTTGTAAAAACGATAGCTAAACAATACATCAAAACATGGTCAGTAGCAGAGTTGCTTGCGTTTGAACTTAAATCTTATGAATGCGTATGCTAAAAATCTAGTTAACAATAGAGCAAAAGTTAAATTGTGCTGGATTTGACTGCAACACTTGGCTTGTCATAAATTTGAGGAAGCGACATCTCACAATTTATAGAGGTGTGAAAATGGGAGGAAGTTCAATACAGACAGAAGACATCCGTCACTGGGCTTTTTATCTGGTTATAATACAGAAAGCAATCAGCAGAGTTTATTTGAGATTACTAACACACTCCTGTGTCAGTAATTTCTTAATGCCGAATTTTCAGATTTCTTAAGTGTTTCAATCTCATACTCTTGAAAAATGTTTCACATGATTATTTACTTCTGTTTGTTGCATCTGGCTGGTAAGTGTTAAAAAAATGAATGACTTCAAGTTTGGTTAACTATATCTAGTATTTATTCTTGTTTTGGTGTGTTTTATACAGACGGAGTGAAAAGGGTGTCAGTGATGGAGGGAGATTCTGTCACTCTGCATATTAATCAGACTTTTACTGATAGAAGACATTATCGGAATCCTTTATTGTGGACTGGACCTGAAGGTAATCTTATTGCACTATTTTTAGTTTATGAGAACACATTTCATATTGAATATTCAGATGATGATATATTCAGAGACAGACTACAGATCGACAGTCAGACTGGATCTCTGACCATTAGCAACATCAGAAGCACAGACTCTGGACTTTACGAACTTCATGGAGACTTAAGCAAATTATTGTTCGATGTTACTGTCTATGGTGAGTAGCCGATTGAATGTGGCCTGACAAGTCATGATTCAACAATAAATTATTTTAAAACACTTAAATTTTATATGTTCAAAAATATGTATTAACATGGCTTTGAATTTTATAAGAATATTTATGATGATTTATTCTCACTACAATATTTTCTAGCTCGTCTGCCCAATCCAGTCATCACCAGAGACTCTTGTAACTCTTCATCATCCAGTTGTTCAGTGTTGTGTTCAGTGTTGAATGCGAGTGCTGTGAGTCTCTGTGAGTTTACTGTCCAGCATCAGTGTGTCTGATCGCAGCTCCAGTCTCTCTCTACATCTGGACATTAAATGTCTGAATGATTCCTACTTCTGTATTGTAAACAATCCCATCAGCAACCAAACAACACTTCTCAACAGCACTGAACTCTGTCAGCCATGTCCAGGTATGATCATGGGGATTTTAATGATGTTGGTTTCCTTCAGTTGAGATTTTATTGTTGAGTTTGTCATAAAGTAAGTGCAGATTCTCAGTTAAACCTACTTTTTTTGTCTTCAGACTCGATTCACTGTTGTGGTTTCACTGAAGCTGTGATTCGATTGGTCATCTCTGCTGTTGTGGGTGTGGCTGCTGTTACCATGGTGCTTTATGATATCATATCCAGAAAAGTTGAAGAGATGAAGAGAACATCACAGTCAGTCATTGAATAATGAATTAATTATTTGAATGATCATTAATTATTTGTACTTCTGAGTCAGTTCTTGTTAAAAGCCATGTGCAACAGTCAGTTTTACACTGATTTTAAACTAAATGTTTTTATATATGTAGGTTTGCAATGTTTTGCAAATATTCTTGTACAATTTGCTTGTTGTTCAGTCAGGACTAAATGGAGTCAGTTTGAAGTGATCATCAAGAACTGAAAGTTGTTTGTCTTAAATTTTTTATTGGATTCATGGAGATGCACTGAAATTATTTCATCGCAAAGAACTTGTATTGGAGTGAAAATAAAAAATATAAAGGAATATTATTCAGTCTGGCTGGAGAACATGTTTGAACAGCTCTACAGGAGGACAAAGTGGCACAGATTAAGTTTAGTCTGTGTGAAAATCATCAGCAATAAGTTTAACATAAAAAACAGTTCAAGTCTAGAATCCTCAGTATTACACACTCTCGAAAATAAAGATACAGGAGCTGTCACTGGGGCAGTACCTTTTCTAAAGATACATATTTTTCCCTGAAGGGTCTATAATGGTACCTCAAAGGTACTTTTTAGGTACATTTGGGCACTAATATGCATCTCTGAGGTACAACTGTAGACTCGTTGGGTACAAATATGTATCATTTGAAAAGTTACTGCCCCAGTGACAGCTCCTGTACCTATATTTCTGAGAGTATAGGCCTAAACATGGAGTTGAAAAAGATACAAAAAAAAGGTACGTTATAAGAATTGGAAAACATAAGTAGCCTGAAAAACAGCAAACTTGGCTGCACAGAAGTTCAGAAGAAATACATGTAAATGAAGTCTCTTCCTCAATTGCACAAGCTCAGTATGTGTAATGGTGTAGTTTAAGTTTGCAGAAATGTTTCACACTTAATGTGAACTTCCGCTTTGACCTAAAACACATTTGAACAAGTTTTCTGTGAAATATAGAGATTATATCAAATTGAATTGTTTATAATATAGACTCCACCTCCATGCTGCAATCTTTCAGTCTTCCTGTCAGGTTTTATAGTCAAAGAATTAAATAATGAATTATATAATTAAGTTTTTTTGCAGCCTAAAAACAATGAAAGCCTAATATGCAGATGCACAGATGAATCAATAGTTGTTTAAATAAATAAAATATTTTGTGCTGGTTTTTGAACTGTAACACATGACTAGAATTCAAGAAACTAACAGCATTTTATAACAGCAAATGACTTTTATAGCTCCTTCTCTTTAACAGTTAGAGATTAAGGACACATTTCTGTTGTTATTTGTAATCTGTAAAGTGTGTTATTCTGAAAAAATGTTTCACATGTGAATTTCTGTCCTCATCATCTGGTTGGTGAACTAAATAATAATAACAATAATAGTAATAATGCATTTTATTTGTAATGTGTTTTTCTTAAAACCAAAAGGCTAAAGTAAATATTCATTGCCTAAAAGTACAAAATAAACCATAATTTAAAAACAATCTTAAAACAAATGCATCTTAATTAACTTGTTGACGTGACCCAAATTTGGTGCGTTTCTGATATTAAAATTAAAAGCATTTCATAATTCACAGGCTTTTGTTAAAATCTCTGGTCAATAATAGAGCAAAAGTAAAGTTGTGCTGGTTTTGACTGTAAGACGGGGTTCGTCATAAGTTTGAGGAACCGACATCTCATTTATAGAAATGTGTAGACTGAAGGAAGCTCCTTACAGACAGAAAACATCCTCTATTGGGCTTTTTGTCTGGTTTAGCAAAGTTGATCTGAGATTACTGACACACTCCTGTACTGAACTTTTAGATTTGTTTAAATTTACACTATTGAAAAATGTTTCAAATATTTATCTTCTTCTGTTGGTTGTATCTGGCTGGTAAGTTGAACATAAATTTATTGCTTCAGGTTTAGTTGATCTACATCTAGTATTTATTATTGTTTTGGTGTGTTTTATACAGACGGAGTGAAAAGAGTTTCAGTGATGGAGGGAGATTCTGTCACTCTGCATATTAATCAGACTTTTACTGACATAAGAAGACATTATCAGCGTCCTTTATGGTGGTTTGGACCTGAAGATACTCCTATAGTTAGACTATTTTGGGATGAAAAGGGAACAAATATTACCTATTCTGATGATGAAATATTTAAAGACAGACTACAGATTGACAATCAGACTGGATCTGTGACCATCAGCAACATTGAAACCAAACACTCTGGACTTTACAGACTTCGGTTTAGATTCTTTAGAGAATCATTCAATGTTACTGTCTATGGTGAGTAGCTGATTTAATGTGGCCTGACAAGTCATGATTAACAATAAATGATTTGAAATACTATGTCCTTTTCTCTGATGTTTTCCAGCTCGTCTACCCAGTCCCACCATCTCCAGAGACTCTTGTCACTCTTCTTCTTCTAAATGTTCAGTGTTGTGTTCAGTGTTGAATGTGAGTGCTGTGAGTCTCTCCTGGTACAAAGAAAACAGTTTACTGTCCAGCATCAGTGTGTCTGATCTCAGCTTCAGTCTCTCTCTACATCTGGAGGTTGAACATCAGGATAAAAACACCTATAGTTGTGTGCTCAACAATTCCATCACTAGCCGAACTGAACATCTGGACATAACTCAACTATGTCAAGGTATTGGTGTGAATCTATTTTCAAAAAGTCTTCAGTTGAGATGTTAAGATGTTATTGGTAATTTGCAGATTCTCAGTTAAACCTACTTTTTTTCTGTCTTCAGACTCGATTCACTGTTGTGGTTTTATTGAAGCTTTGATTCGATTGGTCATCTCTGCTGTGGTGGGCGTGGCTGCTGTTGCCGTAGTGGTTTATGAAAGCTGAAGAGAAAAAGAGGAGAACATCACAGACAGTCGTTGAATGATCGACCATGAAATCATGGCACTTTTGATTCAAAAGTTATGAAACTTGTAATATTAACCTGTATATATATATACAGGTATATATATATATATATATATATATATATATATATATATATATATATATATATATATATATATATATATATATATACATACATATATATATATATATATATATATATACATATATATATATATATACATATATATATATATATATATATATATACATATATATGTATATATATAATATATATACATATATATGTATATATATACATACATATATATATACATACATATATATATATATACACACACACACATATATATATATATATATACATATATATATATATATATATACATACATATATATATATATATATATATACACATTAGGGATGTAACGGTATTGTAAATACCGTCATACCGCAATATTAAATTTTTTCGATATTACCGAAGTCGCATGACTCGGTAAAACTATAGGTCTTCTGAGAAAATTTGCTCAGGCGAATGAAGCGAACGGGAGGTAGCTGAAACTTCATTTCCCATCAGCCCCGGCGTGGCCATAATCCTTTGCGGTCTGTTGTCGCTACAGATCCAGTAATGCGGAAATGGAGTGTGCTGCTAGTAGCGGAGATGAAAAAAAGATGGAAATGATCGAACCTAAAGCGGGTGTTGTCGCCGCGCGCGTGCTGAATAGCGGTGCTGTCGCGCGCGTTCTGATCAGCTGTGTTGTGGCGCGCGTATTGTAAAGCGCCGAGGGGGGGTTGAGCGCGCATACTCAAGAGAGGTGTTGTCGCGCGCCTTCTGAAGGGCTGGACTGGACGGAGGTTGTGTCGCGTCGCGGGGGCACTTTTGATCGTTTTGGAAGGGCATTTTCTATCCAAGACTAAAAAGGGCATGTACACTGCACAGGTTGAGCCCTATGTGTGCACGTGCCTGCAAGTTGGGGAATACGACTAATAACAGTCATGGGGACTGCAGAAACACAGCACACTGTTCAGATTGATGCAGACATTGACTTGTACCGCAAAGAGATCTCTATCTCACTCATGGTTTGTCCTCTCAAGTGGGGGAAAGACAATGCACAACGTTACCCCACTGCTGTCAACATGGGCCAAGTCATATCTCTCTTGTCCCAGAATCCTCAGTCCCAAATGAGAGGGTTTTTTCTGTTGCAGGGGACATTGTAAATACCCAGAGATCCCAGCTTTTACCAGATTATAGTTATATGATAATTTTCCTTTAAACCCATCTCTATCTAAGTGAGTGATTAAATGTTAAATGTGATGAGTTTTTAACAATACTAAATTGAAACTTTATTTTTTTTTACATGGTTTAATAATTTTTTGTTATTAAAATTGAAGTTCCTGTTTCAAAGCTTACAGATAGATGGCTAATTTGTATGTCATTGACACTTTTGGCACTTTTTTGGAGTATTTTCAAAAGTTTTTTTTTTTCCTGTAAATGATTCAATAAATACCGTACCGTGACATTCATACCGAGGTATTACCGTACCGTGAAATTCTGATACCGTTACATCCCTAATACACATACATATATATATATATACACACACACACACATATATATATATATATATATATACATATATACACATACATATATATATATATATATATATATATATATATATATATATATATATATATATATATATATATATATATACATATATATATATACATACATATACATACACAGCAAAATATGGGGACCCAAAACAACTCTATGGGTGTTAATTTCAACCCTTTGAAAGTGTCTCATGGGGTCCACTTAAAACAGAGTTAAATCAACACTTTCAAAAGGGTTGGCACATTGACACCGAAGTAAGGGTTAATTTTAACTCTGGGCAGAGTTAAAAAATGTAACTATATTTAACACCGCCTGGTGTAATATATTGTTATTTTATTCAACTCTCTTGAGTGTAAATGTGGTAAAAAGGTCAAATAGACTGTAAATTACAAAAGAAAAAACATTTTATTTGAAAACATTCACCACTTCAACAATTCATTCAGTTTTTAAAATGCAACAATGTCAAATATGCTTTAAATGTTTTATTAGTACAGACAGTATCAACAAAATATGTATGACCAGTGCTCAAAAAGGCTGTTTCAGTCATTTGGTCCAAACTTGATGTTTCGTCAGAGCAATTTGAAAGTTCAATATAGCGTCACTCATAGTTTTCTTCTGAACGCATAGTTTTCTTCTGAAATTATATTTTAAACAACTTGGCGTGCAAATCTTTCACTTCTGGTGTTTCCTTGGTCCTCCATATCAAACACAGCAGTTTAAATGAAGGTATAAATGCTGTAAACTTGTGTGAAAACAAACTGGAGCTAGGAAATCTCATCAAGCATGTCCTGTGAATGAAGTGCTTCCCAGCCACAGGATGACCTTTTTATCCATGACGATGTACAGTAGTAGCTGCTGATCGCTCGTCTGGTGGTTCCTGATGCACGGATACAGGGCGATGCTCATTTAAGAACTCTTCAAGACTCCAGCATGACTAAGATAAATGTTTGAAAACAAATTGCAATCAAATTCTATGATATATTTAAAAGAACATTTAAAGTGAATAAAACATTCAAGAAATCTAAACTCACCTTTTGAAAATCTACATGATGATCCACAACTTGACTCTCCCAGCTGGTTGAGGTGACAGGATATGGAAAAGAAAAAACACATACATCACTGTTGGATCTCCAAAAATAATTAGGTTAACCACTATGACTAGAACTGGAAAAACAGGCAGCTGTCTGTCCAGAATCCTCAATTTAACACAACACTTGGAGCAAATTTAAAGGAGCTTAAAATCTTTTATATCATTTAGTGATGCTGACTTCCCCAAAATAATGGCCACAGTGTAAAAAATATTTATAAACTTACAGTTTTCTGTAAACGTGTGCGTGCGTGTGTGTGTGTGTGTGTGGGTGTGCGTGCGTGTTTCTTTACCAGATTCAACTTGTTAGGCCCTTTCAGGTCCAGTATTGACGCCACCTTTTCTGGAGTCTAGCAGATGTTTCAGGTCCAAATATAATCTAAAATATTAGGATAAGCAGAAGAGGAAAAGTGCAAAGTAAAGAGCAAAACATTATTTAAGTAACAGTTCACCCACAATACAAAACTTATCACCTTCATGTCATTTGTTATTCTTTAATGCTCTAATACCCTCTCAGCTTGTTCAATTCAATTCAATTCAGCTTTATTTGTATAGCGCTTTTACAATGTAGATTGTGTCAAAGCAGCTTCACATAAATGGTCATAGTAACTGGAACAGTGTGGTTCAGTAACTGGAACAGTGTGGTTCAGGTTTTAGTGTTTAAGTTCAGCTTGTGAAACAAATACAGAACTTTATCAAACATACCTTCATTATTATCACCACATATGACCAAGACGGTGTGTTTGGTCATTTCAACAACTCTGGAAATACACCATCCGTCTCTAATCAGTCACCGTTACAGGGTTTTGTGTTTTTGTATAGAGAACTGTGGCTGTTAAAAAACAACAAAAAATTAGTATCTAACACATATGCATAACCTTCAGATAAAAAAGAGAGATAAACATCACAAAGTATGCCTCACACTTTTTCAGATATCTTTTGATTTAGATGTTGATTATTGATAATAAATCTACAAATCAAACCTGTATCAAATATGAATCAGTTGATTAATTTTACAGACAGGTGGCTGTTTACAACGCACTAAATTGTCTTTAATAAAACGGAAATGTTGTGTACATGCTAAGTTTAGCCTATAGTTTTAAGCACAATATCATGCGGGAGAAAAAGCTTGACTAAGATGTTCCTGACTACAGAAATAGCCTAACTTACTAACGTCAGACATCCCGAGTTGGGAAAAGTCATTTTCGGGGGATACAAAGTTGATTTGCGGGAGGTAGCGGGAGAGATGGGTACCTGAAGAGCAATGGGATGAGTTGCGCGCGACGTACCTGAAGAGCGGTGGGGGTGACTTGCGCGCGACGTACCTGAAGAGCTGGGAGGGATGCGGTGGAGAGGGGTGTGCAAAGTGTTTAATGACCGGGCGGGAGACGCGCGATTTCCGGGAGATTATCATTCATTTGCGGGCATCTACTTGGGCATCTGGGAGTCTGTGCATTTGCGGGATAACGTTAACGTTAGTCCCGCAACTTCCGGGAGACTTCTGTAACGTTAAATGTCTAGCTGCGTCCCAAATCGCATACTTATGCACTATTCTACGCCATTTTGTAGTATAAATAGTGTAAGTAGTGTGTTCACACTGAAAACTCTTAAAATAATAAGTGCACTTTAATTACCCGGATGATGCACTCATTCAGCCGCTAAAATGAAGTGTGTATTGATGGACACTTCACGCACTCAACGACCGCAGGTTTGCTTACGTAGCGGAAAGGGCGGAGCTATCGGACGCACATGTTGGATAACTTTATTTATTTTGGATGGAGAAAGCAAAATTCTCCTACGAGAGTGATTATAGCGCCTCCCGATGGTGAATGCGGCAATTCTCACGATAGGTATTATTTGATAATTCGGTCGTTTATTTCACTAATTTGGCAACCGTCAAACGTCATCAGGGAAACGGTTTGAATTTCCGTTTAGTAAAAAAAACATTAGTGTGCCATTTGGGACGGCACTACATACATATACTATCCTGTTGAGTGTGTAAGTGCATAAGTACATAGTGCATGAGTGCATAGTGTGCCATTTGGGACGCAGCTTCTGAGAAAGTGCAAACGCGGTCATTTAAAGACATTAATGTTAACATTCCGACTTTACTGGTTGTCAACACTTAATATAATTCAAGCGTACGTTATCACGCGAGTCTATGGACTAACGTTAACGGTATATGGACGGCCACGAATGAACGAGTTTAAAAGGGCCGCTGTGTTTAAAATAACCAAATTAACATACACGAATAACAAACAATCATATGTTTTAGTCAGGAAGCCTTTTACAAGTAAGCATATCATTAACTCACCAGATATGTTTTACAAAACTCTCCAGAGCTTATGGAAACCGTCCTGTGTTGCCGTTAGCATCCGGGCAGAGTAGGCTAACGTTAGGCTGCTCCGGGGATTCCCTCGCTAGTTTGCTTCGAATTAAAGGAGAAGTGTCGATTTTATTTTACAGATGGGTAACAACGCACAAAATGGCATTAAGCGTGACAGAAATGTGTTGAACATGTTCATTTGATGTTTTTATGCACTATGTATGCGTGAGCATATATAAAAACATTCTTGAAAAGAAGTGAATAGTAATGCGGTCAGTTAACTGAGCTAACGTTAGATACACAAACGACCATGAATGAACCGCAGAAGTTTAAAATAGTCACTCCATTCTAAAGTTATTACCTTAACAATATGTTTACAACTGATTTTCCTCAAAGAAAGTCAGTAAAATACCAACATTTAGGTAGTTTGACTCACCAGTTGCTCTTCTAAACCTCAGATGGAAAATGCCGTCTGGAAAATTCTTCAGTGACTGGGGCTGCTTGAATTCCCGGATGTTGGAAATAACACCACCAAGTGTTGAAAAGATAACTCCTTGATTTCGCACTGAATAAAATCAATTCTAATTCTTATTATATTCATTTATCAAAATCTAACTCTTTAACGTCAACACTTTACTCTGAAATGCTTCAACACCGAGAATTTAACTCTGATGAATTTGCTGTGTATATATATATATATATATATATATAATCAGCCTAAATCATCACTCATCCACCCGCATGTTTCACTCAGGGCATCAACAGTCAGGGTGGTACGCTTCTTTAGGGCTTCTCCACACCATAACTCTCCCAGATGTAGGAAAGACAGTGAAAGTGGACTCATCAGAGAACAATACATGTTTCAAATTGTCCATAGGACAGGATTTTTGCTGCTTGCATCACTGAAACTGATGTTTGGCATTGGCACGAGTGACCACAGGTTTGGCTATAGCATCCCGGCTATGAATATTGATCTGTGGAGCTCCCGATGAACAGTTTTGGTGGAAACAGGAGAGTTGAAGTGCACATTTAATTCTTCATTGAGCAGGCAGTTGTGTTTTTTTTTTTTTTTTTTTTTGTGTGTGTGTGTATACAATCCAGCTCCCAGACATCCCTTTCAGGCAGCTTCCTCTTGCATCCACAGTTACTCCTGTTGGATGGAGTTCAACCCTCTTGGTGTATGCTGAAAATACCCTAGACACCATGGCTCTTGAACATCATAAAGACTTGCTGTCTTGGTCACAGATGCGCCAGTGAGATGGACACCAACATTTTGTCCTTTTTTGAACTTTCAGTCATAATGTTGTGTGTGTTACAATACATAAAACAAAACTGTGCTATTATCTGCTGATTGAACCATCACACTCTCTTTAAAAAGTGTTTCAGTTTCATTTTCAAGAAGCTCAGCAAAAAATACATGGGGTTAAAATTGTTTGCTCATATTGCAAAGGACATTTTAAAAATGTGAGGAATTCCGACATAGACTGGTAAACAAATCACTCCTGCATGGTCCTTCCAGCGATCTGTGCAGTGTGGTGTTGTACGCCCGTTTCTTTTTTTTTTACTGCTTTTAATCGTGACCCTTCTGCGCCATCTGATGGCCAGGCGTGTAACTGCAAGAAAGACAACCAGAAAGGACTTACTAAATGAGATAAAATTTGAATTATAGTAAATAGTACAGTGTTTTTTTTTAATCCATACGAATGTAAAGTGCACTATACAGTACATATCATAATATTAATGCTCCAGGATTAGATTAATAACCACATTGAACTGATAAATACGGTAGCATGCTTACATTTTTAATATAGTAAACCGTGATTTACTGTTCATTAAAAAAAAATTAGTATATGTAGTAAAACTGGGGTTGTACAAATCGTAATACATGAAAATGGTCAGTAATAAAGTTGATTTGGACTTGAACCAAATCATATGAATGCACGTTAAAACCCTGGTTAATAATAGTGTACAAGTTACATTTAGCTGATTTCGACTGTAACACGAGTTTCATCATAAGTTTAAGGAAGCAATTTTTTTTTTTTCGTTTATAGAGGTGGAACCACTAAACAGACAGAAAACACCCTCTATTGGGATTGTTGGTTAGGTTAAAGAGAGAAACCCATCAGCAGAGTTTATTTGAGATTAATCACACATTTCTGTTTCGGATTTTTAGATTTGTCCAGTGTTTTAATCTTACACTATTGAAAAATGTTCCAAATGTTTATTTTCTTCTGTTGCTTGTATCTGGCTGGTAACTTGAATTTTTTTTTATTAAATTCAAGTTTAATCGATAACTATTTAATCTCTTTTTGGTGTGGTGTGTTCACAGACGGAGTGAAAAGAGTTTCAGTGATGGAGGGAGATTCTGTCACTCTGCTTATTAAGCATACTCTTACTGATAGAAGACATTATAGGGGTCATTTAGACTGGTTTGGACCCCGATATGTTATATCCCAATAAATTACCCAATAAATTATGTGAGATGTTCACAGAATATGAATTAAAATGGCTTTAAATTGTATCCCAATATGTAATGGTTTACTTATTATTATTCTTTGATGTTTTCCAGCTCGTCTGCCCAATCCAGTCATCACCGGAGACTCTTGTGACTCTTCATCATCCAGTTGTTCGGTGTTGTGTTCAGTGTTGAATGTGAGTGCTGTGAGTCTCTCCTGGTACAAAGGAAACAGTTTACTGTCCAGCATCAGTGTGTCTGATCGCAGCTCCAGTCTCTTTCTACATCTGGACATTAAATGTCTGAATGATTCCTACTTCTGTATTGTAAACAATCCTATCAGCAACCAAACGACACTTCTTAGCAACACTGAACTCTGTCAGCCATGTCCAGGTATGATCATGTGGATTTTAATGATGTTGGTTTCCTTCAGTTGAGATTTTATTGTTGAGTTAGTCATAATGTAAGTGCAGATTTGGTAATTTGCAGATTCTTAGTTAAACCTACTTTTTTTGTCTTCTGACTCTGTTCTGTCACTGTTATGGTTTCACTGAAGCTGTGATTCGATTGGTCCCCTCTGCTGTTGGGGGTTGTGGCAACTGCATAGTGGTTTATGACATCATATCCAGAAGACCTGAAGAGAAGAACATTACAGTCAGTCATTGAATAATTAGTCATCATGAAATCATTGCAGTTCTTGTCAAAAGTCATAGAAATCAATTAATCAAACAAGGGCTAGATTAAATCAACCTTTTCAAGATTTTGTTTTAGTATAAAGTACATTGCTTTGCCTATTTTGCTTATTCAGACACGTTTTAAATCTAAAGCACAGATATTAATTATTAACACTTTGTCTTTGTGTGATCTTGTCATTCAGTCTGGGCTGAATAGTCTATCTGGACTGAACTGAAGGTTGTTTGCTTGAATCCCAAGTAGATTAGTGAAGTGTTTATTGGAGATTATTTGAAGTTCTCAAATGTTAACAGATGAACTAAATGTGAAGAATCTGTATCAAGTGTGATGATTACAAAAATAAAACATGATGAATCAGTCAAGATTGAGTTATGTTACATTAATTTACTCTGAATATTGAATAAGCAGACAGTATATCAAACGCTGGACATCAACACAGACAGTGATGTTGGTTTGATTGATTGAAACAATCTGTAACATAAGGCTTAACCATAACACACCTCCCATCTATTGGTGTCTTCTTGAATAACGATACACAGTGAAATCTATTTAACTATTTATGTATGAGTTTATAATATATATTACAAACAAGCAAGCTCAGCCTAGATGTAAAGTACAAGATATGAATGCTTTGCTTTAAAAAGTAACTTTTCCCAACACATTTATTTATTCATTTTTATTCATCAGAGGTCACTACAGCGGAATGAACCACCAACTATTCCAGCCACACAACCCAGTTCTGGGAAATACCCATACACTCTCACATTTTTACATACACTCACACTCTATGGCCTATTTAGTTTATTCAATTCACCTACAGCGCATGTCTTTGGATGTGCACATGCGCGAACATGAAAAGTCCACAAATAAATGCCAACTGACCCAGCCAGGACTTGAACCAGCGACCTTTAGATTGGCAAACAGTATAATATATAAACCAACCTGTTCAAGTGCTTCAGATGACCTCAGTTTGAGACTTTTCATTTATTAGGCTTATACATCAGTTGAATAATATACAGAAAATGGCACATTAGAATAAATCGAGAACACCTGAAGCCAGATAAAAATAGCTACAAAAACGTAGCAGAAAGTAAACCACTTCCCTAATTTGTAATGATCTGAGTGAGAATCGCACCCGGGTCTACAGCGTGGTTAGCAGTAGTTCTTACTAGATGAGCCAAGTCAGCAACTGGTGGCCCAAGAGCAGAGGAGGAACAAAGTTAGTTCACAACTAATGAACAAAAAAAAAAAAAAAAGTCTTTACTGAGGTGAATTTGACAAAAAGGAGAGATAAAATCTCTACAGCCAGGGTTGAAAAAGAACAACAAAAATAGGAAAGCCGAGCTTCCTGAAAATACATACAAAATAAAATAGACACGAGGGTCTCATAACAATCAAACAGCAAAATACCAAGCATTAAAGTCTTGAGAACAACTTAATTGGAAACTGGACGAGGCAGCAAGAGGTTGGATTCAGGACTGAACATGGAGCAGGGTACAAAGCAGTCTTATATAGAGCAAAGAACAGGTGGTGGTGATTACGCTGATTACAGGATAGTTTAGAGGAACAAGAGTCACTACTGCCATCTAATGTTGAGAAGTATAGGGCAATATGTGCGCCCCCTGGTGGGTTGGAGGATGTGATAAATTTGCACAAGTGTGGATTTTGTCGGTTTCACTTGACATGAACTTCAACTTTGACTTTTCAAATTAGCATATTTCACATTTACTGAACAGTTTGTGTTTGAAGTACACTTTAAAAACAAAAAACAAAGTTGACTCAACTTAAAATTCAAGGCAACAAACGTCAGGACATGTTTGAGTTGACTCAACTTTCAACCTAATTACTCCACTTGACTCTATTTAAGTTGAATAAATGCAAAAATGTCTTGAAGTTTGTTGACCCCTCGTTTTGCATGTTTACGTGAAGGGGTAGGGGTGTCCCAATTCTCTTTAGCTTGAACGCATAGGCCTAAGGGGAAGGCCTAGATACCCCTTGAAACTGAGATTTTCCAGGATTACACTTGTGAGTTGAAATCAAGGGGTAGGAAAATTTCGCAGAATCAAATAAAATCATTTTTATTGTCACTTCATCAGTAGCACGTGTGCTTTGATGAGTGAAAAGCTTAGGTGCTGGCTCCAGACAGTACAAAATACAAATAGTGCAAATACAACGACAATGCAAAATACAGAATACACCATCTACAACGGCAGCATGGCTGCACACGGAAGTAAAGAAATGCACAAATTTGTATTTTTTATCATTATTACAGATTTTTACGACAAACAAGCACATGTTTTAATGCATTCACAACCATTCGAGTTTTACCATCATGCTTAAAAAAAAAAAAAAAAAACGCTAAAATAAAAATTGCTAAATTTTGCCCTATAATTTTGGCAAGGGGGTGGGGCTGAGTGCCGTGGGAACTGAACGAATCCCACGGAAGGGGCTCTGGACTATAAGAGGAGGAATGATGGCAAAGGAAGCTAAGAAAGGTCCAGGCCTGAACACTGTTAGGTTGGGTTTGTTTTGGTTTAGACGGCAGTTTGCGTTAGGGGCTGCCGTCCATTTGTTTTATTCTCTTCATTAGAACTAGTTAAAAGTTCGTCAGTTCTCCGCCTCCTTCTTCCAGGCAGCCAGGGGGCCTTAAACTTCATTACATTTCTCTGCCATCGTTCCTCTACTTATAGTCCAGAGCTCCTTCCCTGGAATTCGAGGCCGTTGTGCGCCACAGGTGTTTCTCATTATTCACTTCACTCTCATCACAATAATTCATAATATTAACTCCTGTATAGTAGTCCCACAATATACTTTCACATCTGACACTTGATGACACTCGAATACCCTGTCAGAAAAGTCTAGTGGCTGTGAATGAGCTTTTTGCAGTGTCTGCTATAATGTTAGTGTTGTTTTTGTGTGTTTACATAGATGAATATGGCCATGGTGTAAACACACAGTCAGTTACGATCTTTAATCCACATCATATTGTTATTATAACATGACATCATCACTATCAGTGATTTTCTGAAGATAAATAAAGAAATGCCGCAACTGGGATATCTACTGCAGTCACGATCGTTGATCTCTTTTGAAGTAAGAGATCGCGATGACATATGATGATGTGTGCAGGTGCTGTAGTGCTGTCCCATTTCCTAGGGGTTAATTTTAAAGCTGTTCCCCTTCACACTCAGTTTCAAGTACAAAAATAGAATTGGGATTCGGCCTAAATACACAAAATACCAAAGTTTTGATAATATCTGGAGGCTTGACCTGCATGCAGTCTTCATCTTCATCTTCCTGTTTTTATTTTTCTCAAATTCAGTTTTGCTATCAGGCTTAAAGCCAATCACCATAGGTATAAATTAAAACTAACGTCTAATTATTAGGCATATAATTTAAAAGTAATACACAGATGCACAGATGTTTTGGCTAATATACTAATAATAGAAAATAAGACACATGACCAGTTTCAGGAACAGACAATATTCATAGAGGTGTGAAGAGTTTACAGCACACAGCAAAACATCCTCCATTCGGCTCCAAATCTTCAACTCATACTTCTGGAAAAATGTTTCGCGTGTTTATTTTTTTCTGTTTGTGGAATCTAATTCGTAAGTAAAACATGTTTTTATGTTGGTTCAGTTAATTATAGCTAGCATTTACTATTGTTTTGTTGTGTTTTATACAGACGGAGTGAAAAGAGTATCAGTGATGGAGGGAGATTGTGTCACTCTGCATATCAATCATACTCTTACTGATAGAAGAAAATATTATATGACTTATAATAGTTCTATACACTGGTTTGGACCTGAAGATGTTTGCATCGCTATACTATTTTTGTTTAAAGTAAACACATCTCATATTAGATATTTGGATAATGAGAAATTTGGAGACAGACTACAGATTGACAATCAGACTGGATCTCTGACCATCAGCAACATCAGAACCAGAGACTCTGGACTTTACACAGCTCTGGGTGGATTCTTTAACCAATCATTCAATGTTACTGTCTATGGTGGGTAGCTGAAAATAACGTCTTCTTTTCTCAACACATTTTAATAGTAAAACTAATACTGTGGATAGAATGCACAAACAACAAATACCTTCAGATTCTCAGTTAAACCTACCTTTTCTGTCTTCAGACTCGATTCACTGTTGTGGTTTCACTGAAGCTGTGATTCGATTGGTCCTCTCTGCTGTGGTGGGCGTGGCTGCTGTTGCCATAGTGGTTTATGACATCATATCCAAAAGAGCTGAAGAGAAGAAGAGGAGAACATCACAATCAGTCATTGAATGATGAACCATTAATTATTTGTACTTCTGAGTCAGTTTATGTTAAAAGCCATGGAAATCAGCTTGGCCTAAATCACGGGTTCTCAATCTTGGTCCTGGAGGTCCGGTGTTCTGCAGATTTTAGCTCCAACCCCAATCAGACTCATCTCTGCTAACGAATGAAGCTCCTACTAGGCTTTTTAAAAACATCCTTGCAGGTGTGTTGAGGAAAGTTGGAGCTAAAATTTGCAGGACACCAGCCCTCCAGGATCGAGTTTGAGAACCCCTGGCCTAAATGTTTAACCCGTGCTAAATGCCCATGTTGAGTCATAATCAGCTTTTTCAGAGATATGTTTTTGACATGAACTCTTTGTAAAAAAAATCAACATTGTTGTAATAATTCAAAATGAAAAAAAAAAAAAAAAAAAAAAATATATATATATATATATATATATATATATATATATATATATATATATATATATATATATAATTCAGTCTGTGTGGAGAACTCTTTTTAACAGCAATACAGGAGGCCAGAGGGGCTTTTAAAAATTCTGTGAAATGCTTAATAATTTCAATTTTTTATTGAAAGTTTGTCAGAATGTCAACTGAAACATGAAGACAAGGCAGATTAACTACAGGCTTTGGATGTTTTATCTTCTAAACGCTAACTTTGTCACTTTTTTGGAGCATGCTGGCTCATAGATATCCTTCACATTAACAAACTGATAGTAACATCTAAAAAAACTGTGTTTTTATTTTACAGGACTTTATACTGTACATTTAGTCTAAAATGCACTGGCAAACAGTATTATCTAAAAACAACTATATGTTCAGTTCAGGTCTACACTTCTCTTGTGTTACAAGTCTATATATGGAGTTGAAAAAGATATAGATGTTCAGCAGAAATGCATGTGGTAGATGATGTCACTTCCTTATCTTAGTATGTGCAGTTTATGTGTGCAGGACTGGTTTACACTTAATGTGAAGCATTCACATGCAGGCATAAATTAATAAATAAGTATTTGCAGCCTAAAAAAAGAAAGCTTAACATGCAGATGCACAGATGAATCAATTAATAATTGTTTAAATAAACCTGGTTCAGTAGACAAAAAGAGTTTGAATTGTAACACATGACTAATTTGAGGAACGGACAAACCATTTATAAAGGTGTGAAGACTGAAGGTGAAGGCCTCATTTCCTACTACTGTTTTAAGAAACCATCAGAGGAGTTTGAGATAAGTTGTGGTTTCAGATTTGTAGTGTAACATGAAATGCATAAAGCTCGTTTTATGCATATTAATAATCAACAACAACGGTTTATTCTTAATTAGTAATATTCCGGCTTAAGCTTCAGTCAATTTGGTCAAACAAACATATGATTGTATATGATCATGCTCGCGCGACCGAGCGGATTCCCAGATTATGAATATTAATTATCAACAATAACGAATTATTATTAATCATTAATATTCCGGATCAATTTATTGTTAATTTGACCAAACAAACACAAGCAGAGCCGCCGCTCTTCCGAGCGGACACGGTAATAATCTATTCGTCTAGAAAAAGGGAATTTAATTGCTACTTCTTGCAAAGTAGATTAATCATTCAAAAGTTTTAAACAACTTATAATAGCTAGGCAGGGGAATCTGAATTTCAGTGACATTTTCTCGTGAGGCAAACAATACAATTCATTTGATTATAATGGAATTTATTGACTAGTCAGACGTAACGAACAAACAAACGCACAAACATACATTAAACACAGAACAAAGGTAAACCACGCGGAGATATCGGGTCTATAGAACGTGTAACAGCAAAGAGAAATAGTAAAGCGAGGAAATAGAGATTTCAGGTAAAAGAGTGACAAAACTTTCAGTTCCACACGCACCATTACGGACCACCAAGGTTATAAAAAAACACCTTTTTGATAAAAGGGGCACAGCTTAATCGCATAACTAAAATCACCTGGGGCCTCATGTATCAATGCTGCGTACGCACAAAAACTTTGCGTACGCCAGGTTTCACGCTCAGAATCGCTCACGTTTGGATTTACTAACAATGAACTGAACGTGGGAATGTGCGCAGGTTCACGGCAGCTTCCTGGCAGGCGTACGCACATTTTTTGTGCGTGTCTGTTTTATTTCCATTGGCGACTCCTAGTGTTAACTGCCTGTGTTAAATTCCTCTCTACAAAGTGTCTGAGCCTTGCAATGGCAGCTGTATGAGGCGGGTTCAGCAGGTATATAAGGTTTCCATACCATACAGTTGACCAGCTAAACATTAAAGCACAATTTGCAGCGGTCGCCTGTTTTCCCAATGTAATCTGAGCTATCTACTGCACGCACATTGCTATAAAGACACTATCTGAAGATGAATTTGCATGCGTGAATCAGAAACATTTCCATTCAATAAATGTGCAAATAAAATATGATGCACAAACTTATTGATGATTCCTACTTGTCTTTCTCGTGATAAATAGTGGGCAAAATCTGATATGTAGCGGGGAAAAAAAGAAAGAATTTATTAGACGCTGGATTCGAGCCGAGTTTATGCTCGAACATGTCAGTACATGATCACATGCTTCTTATGAGGTGCGCCACTGAGACTGCTAAGGGTACTGCAACATTTTACAGATATAAACCACACTATTTCTTTTTTAAATGCACTCAGTGCGATGTTCAGACCCAACTGTGTTAACCGCATCAGCTAAACTCTCCCACTCTATTTTTTTCTTTTGTTGTTAATTCCGGAGAACAAACTTGCAAATAACACCGCTTTTCTCCGGTCTACCTCCGAAAGCAGCACCTCCAATTCACATTCTGTTCAAAGTTTCTCTTTTTGCTTGATTTTGCCGTTGCTTTTTCGTTGGGTTTTGTCATTAGCATAGTCATTAGCATATTCATACGGGGGAGGAGGCAGGGAGGGGTTTTGTGCTCGTGCATGTTGCGCTCAGTTTCACGTTCATTCAGATGTACAAAAGAATATGCGTGAGATTCGGCGTACGCAGTGTTTCATACATCAGAATTTTTTTCTGCGTACGCACATTTACAGCTTTGTGCGTACGCAATGTTTTAGTAAGATTTCCACGCAAGTCTTTGTACATGAGGCCCCTGGTCTTTCATGTCTGGAGGTCTCTCTTATGCGTCTCTCTTCCGGCGTGATGAAAACTCCTTTTGAGGTCCTTCTTGGTGCGTGGAGTTTGTAATGCAGTTCGGATGAACACGATCGCAAACTTTAAACTGAGTTTACTTTGCCGGAAAATAAAGAAAGCGTTACGGGAAAAAGTCCATGCGGCTTAGAAAGCCACGTGGCCCTTAAAGGGACCACGTTTGATGGGTTCTTTGTTAGGAACTTCTCTTTTCTGCACAGATGTTTAGGCAGAAGGTCGGCTTATACCTGCGGGTCACGTGACAACCCGTTTAGCATTCTGACCAATGATTTCAGGAGAAAGTTTGCGCGCGAACCTTCCTTTGTCTCGAGGCTGCTCGTATGCAAATTTGAGTGTCCGCCTAAAGCATGCGGACAGGCATTTAATACAGGGGATTAAAGAATAAAGCAATGCTAGTTATGGTCTTGCTCTATGATGTCATCATGTGTTGTAAAATGTCAGCAGAAACCCATCGGTACCAAACATGGGGGGTTTAAAAGTACATCAACATAATTTTTCACATCCTCATAATCTTTATGCTTCAAAAAGGCCTAAAAGGAACAGGCATACAGTGCTGTTTCAGGATTTCTGAGTTCATTTTCTTTCTGTCGGAACAGCCTCGTGTGTGTGTGTGTGTATTTGGGCAGGAATGTCTTTGAAGTGACAGACTGAGGCCCCGTTTACACTAATGCGTTTTAGTTTGAAAACGCATAAGTTTTGCTACGGTTACGCCAACCGTCCACACTACGCCGGAGTTGTCGAGCGCCGAAAACGGAGCGTTTCGAAAACGCTGGAGAGGCCGTTTTCATTTTGAAACGCTGCTGCTCCGTCTCAGTGTGGATGATGGAAAACGGAGACATCTGAAAACGGAGGCGGGGCTGCAGACGTTCGCCTCTCTGATTGGGGCTTTTCCTGAATATTAAGTAGCCTAACACACAGTTCAGTCCTGAATCTTCTCCGTGTAAGTTCAGACTTCGCAAGTTTGATCAAGGCTGCAGTCTCTTCTTCTCAGTTTGATATGGAAAAGCAGACTATACCGAGGACACGGGTAAATCTTCAAAGGGAACAGTGTACTTTATAACTTCATTCACATCACCCTGGCTTCGTTGTTTCACTTTCTCAACAATAAAATGTAAACTTGATTTAAGGAACTGCCTATTTTCATTTTAATATTAGCAACTTAGACAGCAGACATGTTGAGGCGCCGTGCTGTATAAGATGAGCGTCATCTTCACTGTCTGGATATTTATAACAAAACGGAGCCGATAACAACTGCCTCCTTTCAATTTCAGTGAAAATACGAAACATCCCCTCTCTTTTGCTGAGTATCAGTTTTAAGAATCGATAATGGCCATTTTAAAAGTATAACATACAATAAGTTTATACATTATAGGAAATAAAGGCAAGCGATCAGTCAATATACAGAATGGACGTGGTTACATTAATCATTAACTTATCTTTGCGCTCAGCCAAAACACGTTACCTGAGAACAAGTAATAGATTCCAATGCCCAAAGTCAGGGAATATGTCGTTAGATAAAGACAACAAGATGAATGAAATATCCCGTTTAATAAATATAGTGAGATTAGATCCAGCGGGAGATGCTTGATGAGAAGTCCGACTAGCAGAGCTCTCATCTGGGTACATGGGCTGCAGCGCTTGCCCGAGAGCGTCTGTGTGGTCACGTGATGTGCGTTTTCAGCGTTTTGGTGTGGACGGAGAGCAGTTCAGAAACGCTGGGTAAAACGCGAGTGTGGACGCGGATCATTTTCATTCTAAAACGCCGTTTTAAAACTAAAACGTACTAGTGTAAACGGGGCCTCAGTA